ATTATATCGTTGGGATCGCAGGATTGAGCTCTATCGAGCGACGCAGTAACTGACCTAAATTCATCGCGTTTGGATCGCAAAAGCCTGGAGCGGTCGGCAGGCCCGACCTCAGTCATGTCATGAGCTGCCGCGACATCCGTTTTGGGCAAAAACGGGATGTCGACAATGATTTCCTCGCGTTGCGGAGATGAAATCGACGATTAAAAGTGATGAAAGTGGTGGTGGTGCGTGGTGGCAATTGATTGCGATTAAATTCCGTCGTGGATGGTCGACCAGAAAATTGTCGGTCTACGGGCGCCGCTGGACGGGTGGTGATTCTGAAAGTCACAGGCTGATGGGCAGTTGCTAGATTGGGGGGTTGATAGACACCCCGGGAAAAATTATTTGTTATCGGAGAATCTGGACACTGTGCCAGGGAGGAGGCCATGGATCCGTCTTTAACAGAAAGCCTAGGGGAGTGGGCGGTGCGAAGATGAAAGACCGGGGGAGGCAAAAAGGAGATGGTACAGTGCGGTAATCTCTCATGCCAGATAGTCTCTCCAATGGGGACGCCTGGACCGGACCCTCCAACTTTTTGCGGCGCACGCAGGCTACGCAGCACGCTTCCTTGCAGCACTTGATGGACGTGTCTGCCCATCGGGTCTGTCTGTTGGGGGGGGATTGGAGACCTTGGGACGACCTGGAGTGTTCAGTGCTCTTTTTTTTTTCTAGCGCTGGTGCATCGCGCCCGCCCTTTGCCCGTCCGTAAATCAAAGATGATGAGGTCTTTCAATGTCGCTGGGGACAGGTGTCTCTCTCTCTCTCTCACTCTCATAGAACCTAAGGTGAGTGGCTGCATAAGTGATAAGGCGCGTGTAAGTAAGTACCTTCGAGACTCAAAAACTTCCCCAGGCTCCCATCCATTTTGCTGCAATACCTGGCAATATGCACTTTGAATTGCCGCTAGTCGAAATCAGAACCAGATGGAACATCGCTGAACAGGCCAAAGTGTGCTGCTAACAGTAAGTCTGCTCTACCGCTGCTGGCTGGCGACATATTCCGCTTGATGAATCAGTCAGTGTGAGTGTGTGCATATTCTTGCCGCCATGCTGTTTTCGTCTAGACCAACCCAAATTCTCCCACGTTGTGTGTGGCCCGTCTGGCATCCAATCTCATCAGCATCCCTGCTGTGGTCACATTCCACCGGCGCAAGCGTCTTGCGCTTGCTGTTTGCTTGGATGCTGAAAGTCCCAGAAACCCAGGATGCCCGGGCTTGGACTCCTGGAGCTTTTTTTTTTTTTCTCTCCTCTGCCATCGCCTCTTACCTGGTCGCAGGCATGACGAGCCCACTCTTGATGTTTCCAGCCTCTACGCCCCTTGCCTGCGAGGCTCGCTTCCAGCAATGCGATTTTCTTTGCTTGGAAGCTGTCGGGCAGCGGGCTAGGTAATGGTGGAAGATTTCCTTTTTCTGCCTTTGGGAGATCGTCATCGCTGTCGATCGCAGCACCAACAGACCAGAGAACTTAAAAGACACCGGCGTAGTGTAAGTGATGACAATCCTCATCTTCCACCCTCACTTGAGGGCCAAAGAGATGAACACTATCGCACCTGGCCTTCAATGAGACGAAATCTCCAACTCCAGAATCACTTGATTTGATGAACGTCGGTGAGCCAAGCAACTTTCTGTTGACCGTTGCCCGACAATCTTGAAGTTGGGGGACCAGGATAAGACCTGGAGCATGAGTCGGGGCCCATGGACGCTTTGTGAATGCTCGTCCCAAAAACTCCGAAGCCCAGCGCACACCCGAATTCAATAGCCTCGTCGCGGAGTCGCGGGGCAAGCTCTGCAAAAAAAGGTTCGTGAGTTTCGAGTCAGTCGCATGCCTCCGAGTTGCCGCGCTGGATGTGGAAAAGTTAGTGACTTGAACAAAAGGTTCTTTCACTCGGGAACGTACAATTTCATATTTGTTAGCCGTTCAGGTGCCACAAAGTGCCTCTTATAAGACAATCAGCTTATACTCATCCTGACCCTCAATCGGACTGCTTGGCTTGTTGAATGCGACATGCTTTGGGTATCGCGCTCGTGCACTCGGCTAGAATTCTCACTCATATCCTCCATCGATGAGTGACGTATTATGAGTTCGGTGTTATAATGGAAGGCAGGTTGTGGTTGGTAGTATTGAGGAAGTGTAAAAATGAGCAGGCAATCATACTGTTTGAGAAGCTTCTCATAAAAAGCGATAGCCGTGAGTCTGGCGAACATTTCGGGTGAGAGGCTCATGTCATGTGATGCCAAAGATTCGAGTGTATGAGGGCGTAGTTGATCCGTCCCGGGCGGTTGAGTTTCCAGTTCCAGATTGTGCGTCTGCCAAGACGTCGCATTCTCTCAAAAGAGAACTATGAAAAGAGAAACGAAACGGGCGCCGGTAGCTTGTTTGAGCTTCCCCCGCAGGTATCGGAAACAACACCGGGAAAGAATAATAAAAGAGAGAGGTGCAATAACATTGAGCAAAGAGATACAATTCTTTTACTACGTTGAACATTGAGGCTGAAATCAAAACAGTGTGGGCGCACCAAACCAGCCAAACACACAGCCCGGAGAAAAGAAAACGCAGCGTAAAGTTGTGCGTGCGGTTTGCTTGATGCTATTCCGTCCCCCCAGCGGCCCAATAACAGGCCCGGCTTTTTGGTTTCTTACACAACGTTAAATCCTGCGAAATTATGCAAGAAAACAGCATCGGATTGGTCGGTGCCTATGGAAATGCCGATTCGGGTGACATCACGATTCCCACTCCACGAGTTCGCCCTTACCTTTCAACAGGGGTAAGGGGGGGGATTGTAGCTGGCCAATCGAATGTTGCATTCCTCGTTCGACGCTGCGATTTATTGCTGTAACTCTGTCATCACCACTCGGCCAAACCAGGTCCCAATGTAGGCAGCGTTCCCGCGGCCCCGTCTGTTGTCAACCGAGTGCGGGAAGACTATTGTGCCTAGCTCTCACAGGTTGCCGTCCCTTTAGGCCCATGCTAACCGTGCCGTACTCGTTTCCCAACTCGGAGCAACCCGTGCGACCGGACTGCCTCGGTGCAACCCCCTCCTCCCCGAGTTCGTGTCTCTCTTTAGGTACCCCGTCGGGCTCTAACTCGCGCCGTCCTTCCGATCTTGAAAGGTCAACTCCGTGCCTTAGTGTAGCCATACAACTACCCTCCGTGCCTCTTCACCGTCCAAGTGAGCCTTGTGTGAACCAATTCATCCAACATCACTCAACGTGACATTCAAACACAGCCGTCAACATGTCTTTCTTCGGTCTGGACCTCGCCCAGAAGGGCCTCTCCCTTTACACTGTCAGTGACGTATCAACAACCAATGTAGCTAGACCACTAGGCTAAAACTCGCGTCCAGATCCCAGCCGCCTTCATGATGGCGATGCTGCCCAATGTCTACGCCGTCTCCGGAGCAGGAGCACACTACGACCTCTGCAACCCGAGAAAGCTCCAAACCAGTGTCGTGGCCGACGACAAGCTAGACAAGATTGTAAGAAACACAACTCCTCCATTGATAGACAACATTGCCCTCCTCTCCAAGTATCATGGCCCTTTATCTCACACGAAGCTGCGAAATCTTTAGGCCAAAGCCCGCATTCTCCGCGCCAAGGCCGCATCGGAGAACGCCTTTGAGACGCTCGGTTTCTACTCTGCCGCCGTGGTCGCCGCCAACTTCGCCGGAGTAGACCCCGAAACCGTCAACATCTTGACGCTGGGCTACATCGGCTCCAGGGCCCTGTACAACATCATCTACGTCCGCCTGCAGGACAACCGTAGCTTCGGTCCCGTGCGAAGCCTCGCCTGGCTTGCCAGCATCGCCATCACCGTTACGTTGTATGCCAAGGCAGCTACGCAGTTGGCGTCCTCCTAAGCCGGGCTTTTAAATGACAATAGCTCTCAGCGGCACATGGTACAGCCTTTGCCGCGTCTAATGAAACTTTTTTTTTTTTGCACCAATTCAAGCACCTTAATCAGTGTCATACGTTTCGTGTTCACGTGCAATGAAATGTGTCTTGTACGAGCCTGTCGTTCACCAGTGTCAATGTTGCGTACTGAAAAGCGGGAAGCAAACGACCTTTGGCGGGGAGCACAAAGCTTGTTCTTAAAGTTGACGGGTTTCTTTCGGGACGCACGACCCAGCGCCATCGTCGTACATGGTCAGAGACAGCAGCAAGCCACTTGTAAAAGTGACAGACACCGTGACGATGTCCATTCGGAAGAAAGATAAGTCAACTCCATCCTAAGCTCGTACGAGATTAGCATGAATAGGAAACGTGGGCTGGGGTCACCTTACACCATTCCCACAGTGGAACGATTCTGGAAAGCCTCATCGTCAGCCCTAACATCTCTGTGCTCAGCTTCTTTGCTCTCCAGAATGTTGGTCCAACAGCGGCGGAAGTATCACCACTCTGTACCACAACCTTCCGTCTCGTGAGATGGCACTATCACGGCAGAATCGGTCTCGGAATGGGCTCTTTCTGTTCTACATAAGCCAGATGCTCCTTCCATGAGCAAACGGTGTGTCCAAACGACAGAATCCAGGCAACTGCGAAGTTCATCCAAGAGTCTGAAACTGCCTTATCAACTCAACTTCTTTCCGTTTCAAGACACTTACACCTGCAGTGTTCTTTCCTTCACTAAAAGACATTTTGGTTCTATTACAACAAGAGATAAAAGACTTTGAACTGCGCTGACTTTGCCTTTTGAACCCTGCCTCACACACCACCACCATCACCACCCTCTTTTCCTATCCTTCTGCGACAGACGACTTACTGTATCTCAAATTCACTCTTTTTGGCCATTCATTTATCATAGATCCAGTCTCAGCTTGGACAGACAAGTCTGACTGTCACTCTCTTCACTTCGTTCCTATTCGGTAAGCCTCTGGTGAAAGTACAAAAGGCAGCTTTACACTTGACATTGACCAAACCTCTAGCCTTCGTCACCAAGCTCAAACCAGCCGTTTCAATACTCACAATGCGTGACTTTGTCATCTTCCTCACCGTCTCTATGGTGCTCTTATTGGCCGGCGCCGGTCTTGTAGCTGGCGTCCACGACAACTACGTTGCCAGTCATGCTGATACGACTTCTACTACTCAATCAATTGCCACACCCCATACCGACCCCATAATTCTCACTGGAACCGTCTCCAGGGCCACTGATTTGAGATCCTCGATACCCCAGGGCACCCTCATCGTCTCCACCATCAAGGCCAACTTCAGAGCAGACACCATCTCCGCGATTTCGGCGACCCCAACTACCACCATTGTTTGCAACCACAAATGGTGTCAGGATAGCACCTCTCTTTGTGCCTATTGGGCTGGTATCACTGGCTGGGATCCTACTGAAGGCCCGATTCCTGGTGAGACTGTCACCTCCATCGGCAAGTGCAGCATCGTTCCTACCCAGGCTGAAAACCAAAAGCGCGATGCTATCAACGAAATTCTCATCACCTCGGCGCCTACTCCCTCGGTCGACTGCAAGTACAAGTACTGCGACAGCAACACGCAGTATTGCATGTACTGGGCTGGAGTCACTGGCTACGACCCTTCTCTCGGTCCCATTCCCGGCATGACACGTACCTCTCTCGGTGCTTGCCAGACGCCTCCTACAGCTGTTGCCAACGATACTGACTTCCCGACAACTATGGTGACGAAGACGTGCAAGAGTTATAACTGAAGGCAAGCACTCAATAGCGACGACATTTACGCGCTCTGAACTCCCCAGGTACACGAGACATCTAGTCTGCAAACACAGGCGGTAGGATGTTTTGGCGGAGGAAGCTACGAAGAAAGCAAACTCAGATTGGTTTCCAGATAGTTGCTTTCAAAGGAAAACAGAATATGCTAATTTCCGACTTTGAATGCGTGGATATGAACGAGTGATATGTACTGAAGGATGGGTGATGTATGTACGATGTTGCCTCTTGCCTGAGCTCCCCTTGAGCCTGCTCCCGCTCCCACTGCCTTGATGAGAAAGAATTTCTCTCAGGCGGCTGCTCACATCCGTGTCAGTTTCAGTCAACTCATAAGGGGTGTTACACCATAGACTCACCAGGTCCAGTTACGGAGGTCGTGATAGCAGTATCCTCAACATAGACACCAGAGAAGTAAAAGTCCTCATTGGTGTCGGCATAACCATCGCGAGGAAGCTCGAGAACGCCCAGATGCCAGTCCGCGCCGTTGGACGACGTCGAAGCAGAGACGGGAGCCACGACCTGCTGGAGAGGGGCACTGCCCTCAGAGTGCCAGAAGCCGACGCTTCCGCTGGAGAAGTTCTTCAACACCATGGTGTAAGTTCATGTTCCTACTCAAAACCTCCCCCTTTACTCATGGAAAACCCAAAGAGGTTTCAGGACAAACTCACAATCTCATAGGCGACATTGTGCCACACATCCGGCTTCCACTCCGTCTTCCAAAGACTCTTCTGCTGCACCATGAACTGCAAATTCGTATTATTCGTCGCCGACTCGCCGCTAATCCACCCGCTCTTGAGCTCAGTGAAGTGGCTCTCGAAGAACGCAATCTGGTGCTCGCGGAAGATGCTCGGCGCGTTGGTGTCCTTGCGGGAGATGCTAAAGTGGTACCACACCTTGCCCGAGTTGATGGCGGCCTTTGTCTGCGGGATGAGCTCGGTGCGCCGCATGTTCTGGCCGTTCCAGTAGGCCGTGCTGTCGAGCGTGATCTTGACGCCCTGCTTCGACGCCGTGTCGGCCGGGTTCTTGTAGGACGGTGAGAGGTTTACGTATTTCGTCACGTCGCCGGACCCGTGGATGTAGTACTGGTACGGGCCGACTTGGTTGGACCAGGACCACTTGTTGAGGTCGGACGAGGTGTTGAAGTCGTTGAAGCGGCCGTCCCAAAGGACTTTCGCGGAGGTTAGGGGCACGAGAGTGAGGAGGGCGGTGACCTTCATCTTGGGCGATTGGACTTGGCTGAGGAGGTTTGGAACGAGTGATGCTTAGCTGGCGGGACCAAAATTATCTCAAAAGTCGCCGGACAGGCTGGCCACTTTTATACCATTCACAGAGTGAGCCCTATACGGCAACCCGGGACGGGGGAAATATCACGACATCGAATATAGTAGCTCGGCGAACTATAGCAAACAAAGGGGGTATTGCTCCAGGCACGAACAGGTCACGAGTAATATAAACACACTCCGGACGGACCGTCTAGCCAGGGATGTTCAAGGGGCGGAAGGGGGAAGCTTATTTATCTACGTCGCATTTGTTCGGACAGCACCCTCCGATCCCATCGTATGAGCTGCAGACGTTGATTTGGGGAAATCTGAATGCACGGGAGATTTAGCCTGTATGGAATTTAAAGCCTGCGCACCCCCACACGAGCACGAACATGGGACAAAAAAGGGGATTACGTTATTCAGTGGTTAGGGCATGCTGGTTTGACAAGAAACCTTGATTGAGAAGCACTCTTTCGACGTGTCTACGGTCCGTGTTGAAGCAACGTTTGCAAAAAAAGGACCTGCGTGATATCGTGGCGTGAAGGTCTGCAACTCTATGGGTGTAGATGACCTTGTGGTTCCTAAAGTGACCACCTTTGTGGAAAGCCACCATCAGCCAAGGAAAGCTTGTTCTGCATCATGTACCGCTCGAGTCTCCTTTTGTCCCGTCGCCAAGTCTGGCGTTCGGAGGCAAGTAAGTAGGGTGGCGTCCCAAGACGCTCCATGAGGGTCACATTCGGAGGCAACCCAAGACTGATAGGTATCTGTCGCGCGCACACACGCGGCAAGATGTGAGGGGGGGAGGTTTGGTTCTAGCTAGCTCTTCGAAGGCTACAGCCTCGGATGGGAGCTTGACAGAGATCCTGTGGAGCAAACGCGGTAGAGCTCAGTGAAGCATAAGGACCATTGATATCGCGTATTATCTTGACTGCAGATACTCTGATCAGTCGTGGCTCGCTATCATGCGTAAATTTGAAGGCGCTTCTTCTGTATACTGAGGTAGGATCACGGATGTGTATGGACGATGCGGCTCTGGTTGAACTTACGCCGCTCAATACGAGAAGCATTAGGAGGATCGCGGTAAACTTTCCGGATGTACACTTTCAAGCTTTCTCCTCCACATGAAAACGATGATCACGCTGGCAAGATTATGATTCTACTCTGACTTTGACATCTAGGTCGGAGCGGTTCTTAACCACAAGAGAACCCCCGTCTCTACCGATATCCTCCAGCCGTCAACTATGATACCCGTTAAACCACCTTTTGTAGACGTGTAGACGCGGATATTGACTTTCTATAGAGCTTTTTCAAGTTCCAACAGCGACATTTGGCCCCGTAGATGAAGAAGGAGCAGGAACCTCTGCGTCCTATGCATAGGAGATGCGTATAAAATCCGCTCTCCTGAGGCTATCTGGTGTCTCTTTTTTTCCTCCTCTACAACTATCAGCTCGCTCGGTCTCTATACCAATCAGCTAGGTAAGCATACATCACAGACGACCTCACACTTATAGACCAGTCACACTAACACTACCAATGGACTCAAGATACTTTACTTTACATCGAGTAAATCAACAGCTAGGTCTCTGTACCCATCAGCTCTAAGTATGTATACATCACAGAATACCTCACACTTGCAAGCCAAATACTAACGCTACTCTCTCATTCAAGATACTTCACATCGAAGACAACAGTATGGTCGCCCCCAAGACCCTTCTCGCCGCCACGGGCACCCTCGCCCTGGCCACTGCCTCCTCCTTCACCACCATCACCACCACCAGCACAGAGCCCGCCACCGCCGCGGCGACGATCACCGCTCCCGTCGCCCCGCCCATGCCACACGGCTCCGGCCCGACGGAGGCCATGATCGCCCGCCGCAAGGCGTGGTGCACACAAAACAACGCCGAGAAGCGCCGCGCACCGGGCTGGTACGAGAGCCCGGACGAGTACGCCGGCGCCATCGGCTACTGCGTCCGCTTCTACCTCGACGAGTACAAGCGCGACCCGTCCAAGGCCGGCTGGCTCGAGCAGTCCATGGACAGGACCCTCGGCCGCAAAAAGTTTTTGGTCGCCGACTTTGAGAGGAAGGCCAGCCCTGCCCCGACCGCGAAGCCTGTGGCCAACGACGCCGCCGCCTCGAAGAAGGAGGATCCCGTCAGCGAGGATCCCGTCAGCGAGGATCCCGCGAGCGAAGACGAGGTCCGCGTCAACACTGCCAAGATGGCGGACATCCTCAAGGAGAGCCTCGGGCTCACCGACGAGCAGCTCATGGAGCTTGGCTTCAAGCTCGGCAAAAACGGCTTTGCTTTGGTGCATGCCCCCGAGGAGGACTCCGAGGCTTCCTCTTCCCTTCTCTGGTCCCCCAAGTTCGGTCGCCCTGCCCGCCCTCTTACGCTTCACCCCCTTCGCAAGCTTCACGGCAAGGCGCCCGCGGCTAACCAGCCCAAGGGCAAGGGCAAGGAGCCCGCGGTTGAGAAGCCCAAGGTCGAACAGCCCAAGGTTGAGCAGCCGAAGCCCAAGGTTGAGTATCAGAAGCCCAAGGTAGAGGATGAGCAACCCGCAGCTAAGGAGCCCAAGGGTAAGGAGATCGCGGTTGAGCAGCCAGCGGCCAAGGAGCCTAAGAGTAAGGAGCCCGCGGTCGAGCAGCCCGCGGCCAAGGAGCCTAAGGGCAAGGAGCCCGCGGGTGAGCAGCCCAAGGCCGATCAACCCAAGGCCGATCAACCCAAGGCCGACCGGCCCAAGGTCGATGAGCCCGCGGCCAAGGACGCCAAGTCCAAGAAGTCCAAGGACGAGGAGATGCCTCACCACGACCACCCTCACGGCGGCCACCACGCCCACCCCCACCACGACGAGCACGATAAGGAGAAGGAGGAGGAAGAGAAGAAGAAGAAGAAGGAGAAGGAGAAGGAGAAGGAGAAGGAGCAGCACCCCTACCACCCCGACCACCCCCCTTACGAGGAAGAGCCCCTGGAGGATCACCCGACGCCGAATCCGACAAAGATATTTCCCCATTAATTTTAAGTACGGGGCCGGCGTTTTCTTTGCGCCCCCCCCCCCCCCCACCTTCGGAAGATGAAGAACTTGGCACGACAACCAATGTTCAGTTCAGTTCCTTCCGCGGGCGGGCCAAAAATGCCTCACGGAAGGGAGGCATACGATTTCTTTTGATGTTTCCCATCTATGTCTTGGGGGGGAAAAGTTTGATTTAGTAGTTTTGTTCTTTACACAGGCTGTAGTCGTCGAGTCCCCCCAAACACTTACTTGGGAGACGAAGATATCCCAACGAGCTAGGCGCCATTATGGGCACCTGTTGGTAGTAGAAATGGCTTCAAGGCCATTGGCGAAAACTTCTCGTACCTTTGCGTACATCATGTAGCCTCAGCAAATAACCAGTCAGTTAATAGTAAAGTTTAATCAGCCTCCTAGCTTTGTGACGTACCTTTATCAAGGTGGATGAGCAGGGCCCACCCCGTCGGTGAACCCCCTTGTGTCGGTGTCTGTCCATGATTTCGATCCAAACACATACGGCTACAAGAGCGAGGAAACATAGACATTTAAGCTTTCTTGTGGTATTACTCTTACTACCAACAGACTCAGAAGCCCTTGTTCAGTAAGGCTGTGTGTACCAAAGTCACTATCGCTGACCTTTCAATCCTTTCACACACCTCCCCACAAAAGTCTTGCCTTTGAAGCCCATCTTCTTCTTTCTCTCTCTTCCAAGTCGTATCCTAATAAAACACTTCCAATCGGAACTCCGGCCAGTCCTACCCTGCCTCACGAGCAGAGTCTGAACTCCTAAATCTGTAAAAATCGGCAAGAAACGCGTTCTGACCTCCTCTTGTTCCCTTCTATCCATTTCGCCGCTAGCGATAATGAAATCCTTTCTTTTTTTCTTCTACAACCCATAGACGAAATGGAAATGGACTGATCTCTTGTACAATACCGAGTGTGTTGATTTGGAAACGCCATCGTCCGTGCTGGAAAATAATGACCAGCAGCCAGACTTACTATCCCGACGCAATGCCGTGACGGGGTCGTCCTCAAATCGTTGACTCAGTGCCGATGCCAACGGCCCTAGGTGAACATGGCTGCAACTTCCAGGAAGCTCGGCTCGAGTCTTGACATCGCTTGGCATAGGTACCACTCAGGGCTCGCCGCCCGAATGTAATCGACTTAAGTCGTTCCAGGTGCTGTGTCTCTGCCCTCTCTAGCATCCACCTTTTGACGATGCTGCTTATTGCGCAAGTGAACCTCGAAGTTGCCTGCCGTCATTTCCGGCCCGGGCGTGTACAGCTTGCCGGGGCAGTCGAGACAGCGGATACGGGGCAGGAACATCCATCTAGCACCTTCGGGAGGCTGTGACCCTGCTGGTACCGATATCGGCATCTCTGTGTCAGGGTTGATGGCTGAGTACTTCATCATGCCCTCGAAGTTGTCAAAGGTATATGTTTGCTTCAGCTGCTGCAAACAGTTCTTTAGCCATTCTGGCGGTGGGGGCTATCGAGCATGTCAGTTTCCATTCGTAGGTGAAGTCCAAGATATCCATGACTTACAGCAGGTGGTGGCGGTTGACCGGCAACAGGGGGCGGAGCAGGTTGTCGACCAATTTGGCCTTGAGGGAGAGGAGTGCCAAGTTGAGCGGGAAGAGCCTGACCATTCGAGGCGGGAGTGGACGGCGGAGGCATGGAACTGGCTGCAGCCGCGGCCGCGCTAGGTATGCGAGTGTGTGCGGGTGTTGACGGTGTCTGGGAGCCACTCGGGGTGAACCTTGCTCTTGGGTTCTGGAGAAGTCTCCTCAGCTTGTCCTTGCCAACCTTCAGTGTAACAATGAGTTGTGTAGGCTCCTCAGTCTCGTCGCGAGTGTCGCGAAGGGAGCGACCAAGATTTCTCCGAGTCTCATGGTGATGAACGATGCTCGCTTCGGGCGTTTCGGAGCGGCCGAGATTCGTGATGCGTTGCTGAGCAGCACTCGCGGCGCCCCGAAGGCCTCTCGTCCTGGCCGTGCCGCCAAGCTGAGACACGCCTGGCGAGTCCGGTCCTGAGTCTTCACTATCGTCGGAATCGGATACCTCGCCATCGCGTGCTCCTGGCCTCTTGCGGGTGGTGGGTGGTGCGCCGGCCACACGCTTGTACAACGTGCTCTCTTCCATGTTAGGCGCAGCACCTGGAAGCACGGACGAGACGAGGAGCGTCCTGATTGTCCGCTGCCGTTCCTTGAGGTCAGGCAGTTGTGGGCCACCACGTCGGTTGATAGATCTCTTCTGCCGTCTCTGTTCCCGAGAGAAGATGACCTCATTGCGTTCCAAATCGGCGTCACTGAGCTCGTAAAGATACGGCGCATACTCCTTGGCCTGTTGTTGCGGTCTGAATACAGATGGTAGAGGAGACGGCAGGAAGGCGGCGATGAGATCAGGGTCTTCGACCGGTCTGCCGTCAAAGGGATGTCCGACGCTGTACAGACTCCGAGTGAAGAGTTGGCACTGCTCCCGAACGCAGTGAGCAATTGCGGTGGTGAACTCGCCGGACAATGACATGTCGCGAGTCATCGAGGCGGCAAATTCCTCTGGGGAGTTGAGTGGATTGTTGATATCCCACTCGAACTGATCGACCAAGGTCACGCCGCCAATGGTGACGTTGAGCTTGATCAATATCCTCATCTCGTCATTCTTGTAGGCAGAATATGGCAGCTCCGGGTCGAGCGCGTCTTCTTCGGAGAAGACGAGGGGGTAGAAGTCGTTGAGCTGGTCGCGCATTTGTAACGTGACTTGATCCAAGACGGGTTTGTGCTGTGCGTCCAGAGGGATGCCCAGATCCTCAACGAGGTGCTGCGCAAAGAGCTCGCCCGGAATAACCCTGTCATGGAGGTTCCATGTGAAGGTGTCGCGAAGCTTTATCTTTTCCCAGTCAACGTCTATGCGTATCGGAACGAGCTCCTCATGTTGCTCCGCCTGCTTCTTCAGCTCTCTCTTTTTCCACCTGAGTGGATGCGACTGGCGTTTCCCCGGCCGCGGCTTCTGGCTTGGGTAGATGACTTGTGCAGGAAAGGGCGCTCGCATGCGGGGATCGATGTCGGTGTAGCCGTTGCCGTAGCCACGATATCCTTCGCCATATAGTTTGCTCGGAGGGAAATACAAGCGTTGGGCTTTGATGAGGTTGTAGTCATCAATCTTGTCTCTCGTCTGTTGCATGTCCTTCTCGAACCGTTCCTGGGCGTCCTTCATCGCGACAGAGTAGTGCCAGTCGCGTGTCACGTAGCGCTCGACCTGCAACTTGTTGAAGGAATCCTTGTCTCGTACGGGGAGGGCCTTGGCGGCGGCAGAGCGAGGAGTGCCATCGTGATCGTTGGCGGCGGACGCGGAGGTTGATGCCGAGGACGAGGCTGTCGCGCCAGCCGCGGTAGGCGTAGACGTGGATGGCGGCGCGGCCATGATGAAGCAATGTGCAGGGTCCCGAATCGCCGCAGCGATGCGACTGCCGAGACGTCGAAAGGAAGACGCGCGATCGGGCCTGGGTTCGTATTGAGCGCGTGTCGTGGCGGATGCCAATTGACGATGGCTCCAAAGTTCACTTGGGGATGAGAGGTGGATTCTGCTACGTCTGTCGCAGCCTCTCTCTCCTGCGCAGCGTGTTGGTGTTGTACCGGCGAAGGCTGGCACGGATATTGCTAACGCATCCTATGTACCATGCTGGTGTTTTAGCGCAGAACGGCCTCTCTCGAATGGCAAGGAGACTTCGCAATGTTAGTGCAGAATGCCCAATGCGGCGCCCAGGGCAGTTCAGGTCAGCGCCAATCGCAACCTGGAAAATTTCCCAGTTCAGGTACCAAGCGATCAAAGTATCTTGCCGCACAAATTAGCTGCGGAGCTACATCTAACGTTCTCACACGTGCTTCGCGACTTGACCGCGTTTTTGAGCCTTAGCATGTTGGAATCGCATCGCCGCAAGTGGCCACTACTGGCTTTGACGTATGGCAGGACGTGGCTGACGACATGATGGTGTTTGTCGGGGCAAAGGTAGTTACTTCTTCTGACTGTACTTTGCAAATAAGCCTAGTAGCCGGGAAGACGCAACTGATCTACGGGTCGACCATTTTGTCGGAGATGGATCTCAAATCTGGCACGTCCAGTTGCGCGATAAGCGCCGTTCACTTGATGGTAGATGCATCGTGCTGCGCTAGATCTAGCGGTGTGTGTCCAAAGTGCCTTTTGTTTCTAGACAGAAGCCAATGTGAGGCCATTCGCTTCTCCAGAAAAGGAAAAAAGGGTATGTCATCTGGTGTGCCTGTCGTGGCGGTACGGGCCGAGCTTTTGCCGGAAGCAGCTCCCAGCTTGGAGGAAGGCCCAAGGGAAGGTTGCCCTGAGTTCCGTTCCATGCTTGCTCCTCAGACATGTAGATGCGTCCTTTGGTGTGCTGGTAGAGCTCAGAGCTCGACACAAGGTTCTAGTTGTTCACCATGAGACAGTCTTGAGCCTGAGACAGTCACTTAAGTACCTTGGCAACTCACTCAAAAGCACCTTATGGGCCATTCGTCGTCATTGCCTCACACCTACAGTAATTACAGCTCAAGACAAGATTTGAGCAAGTGACCCGCCAAGCATAAAGTGGCACCAATTCATATTTTCACTCGAGGTTGCATAAAACACCTCAGCTAAGGTGTCACGGTAAGGTATTATTGTGAGAGAGACGTGGTTGGCGCGACACGCGAACAGTAGTGTAGCCAGCACCAGATGCGCAAGGCGATTTTAAGCGATGCGACGTATGCACAAAATTCCCCACCAAAGGTACTTGACGGTACTGGGTTTGCATTAGGTAGGTAGCACGCAGAGGTGGAAGGAGGGATCGAGGGAGCACCTGCGTGCTTGCTTGACCTTGACCTGCCCGAGCACCCACAAACAGCAACGAGCCCCTCCTTTCCCCGCCCTGAAAATCGACGTATTTGTCGTCAAAATACTTACGCCCAACACACCAACTTTGCATTGCATCTCTTCTCACGTTCAGTCCTTCGAGTTCTGGAC